TCTCTATGGTGGGTGAAATAACCCAAAAACCGTAATGAAGCTCTTAGCAAGTAAGTATAGTAATAAACGGCACACTGGGATTTATACAAGTGCATAGTGAAGTGACAGTCAGTCATCAATATTCAGTTGACATCCGTGATATTGGTGGTATGGTGAACAAGTGTAGAATTCACTAACCAGAGAGCGCATAATAAAGCCCATTTGAGTGATTAAACCAACTCCTGGTCATCCGCTTCTAAGCATCTGGAACACCGGGTCATCTGGTTGGCATCAGCAGGATCCACAGTGCACCATCAGGGTTTCCAGGTAACAGGAGTGCCATCAAATGAACACCAGGGGGAGCCAACACTTGCAGATGTCATCAATGGTCTCCTTAGAAAGGAAGGTTCATAACAAAATGAAAGTGAGGGAAGCTGCCCTCAGTGACATACCACGTGGTTTTCTTTCTTAATACTGTTATTCTACACAAAGTGTGAGTGTATATTTTTTCATATTTGTTATATCCTGATCTGATTAAAGCAGTTTTGCACTATGGAAATCTTTGTGCTTGGGCTCATTTTGTTATGAACCTTATGTGCCTCCCACTTGTTAAGGGACTAAAAGTAATGGGACGATTGGCTTCTCAGCTGTTCTATGGCCAGGTGTGTGTTATTCCCTCATTATCCCAATTACAATGAGCAGATAAAAGGTCCAGAGTTCATTTCAAGTGTGCTATTTGCATTTGGAATCTGTTGCTGTCAACTCTCAAGATGAGATCCAAAGAGCTGTCACTATCAGTGAAGCAAGCCATCATTAGGCTGAAAAAACAAAACAAACCCATCAGAGAGATAGCGTGGCCAAAACAACTGTTTGGAACATTCTTAAAAGAAGAAACACACCGGTGAGCTCAACAACACCAAAAGACCCGGAAGACCACGGAAAACAACTGTGGTGGATGACCGAAGAATTCTTTCCCTGGTGAAGAAAATACCCTTCACAACAGTTGGCCAGATCAAGAACACTCTCCAGGAGGTAGGTGTATGTGTGTCAAAGTCAACAATCAAGAGAAGACTTCACCAGAGTGAATACAGAGGGTTCACCCCAAGATGTAAACCATTGGTGAGCCTCAAAAACAGGAAGGCCAGATTAGAGTTTGCCAAATGACATCTAAAAAAGCCTTCACAGTTCTGGAACAACATCCTATGGACAGATGAGACCAAGATCAACTTGTACCAGAGTGATGGGAAGAGAAGAGTATGGAGAAGGAAAGGAACTGCTCATGATCCTAAGCATACCACCTCATCAGTGAAGCACGGTGGTGGTAGTGTCATGGCGTGGGCATGTATGGCTGCCAATGGAACTGCTTCTCTTGTATTTATTGATGATGTGACTGCTGACAAAAGCAGCAGGATGAATTCTGAAGTGTTTCGGGCAATATTATCTGCTCATATTCAGCCAAATGCTTCAGAACTCATTGGACGCCACTTCACAGTGCAGATGGACAATGACCCAAAGCATACTGCAAAAGCAACCAAAGAGTTTTTTAAGGGAAAGAAGTGGAATGTTATGCAATGGCCAAGTCAATCACCTGACCTGAATCATGCATTTCACTTGCTGAAGACAAAACTGAAGGGAAAATGCCCCAAGAACAAGCAGGAACTGAAGACAGTTGCAGTAGAGGCCTGGCAGAGCATCACCAGGGATGAAACCCAGCGTCTGGTGATGTCTATGCGTTCCAGACTTCAGGCTGTAATTGACTGCAAAGGATTTGCAACCAAGTATTAAAAAGTGAAAGTTTGATTTATGATTATTATTCTGTCCCATTACTTTTGGTCCCTTAACAAGTGGGAGGCACATATGCAAACTGTTGTAATTCCTACACCGTTCACCTGATTTGGATGTAAATACCCTCAAATTAAAGCTGACAGTCTCAGTTAAAGCACATCTTGTTCATTTAATTTCAAATCCATTTTGGTGGTGTATAGAGCCAAAAATGTTAGAATTGTGTCGATGTCCCAATGTTTATGGACCTGACTGTATTTTTTTTTGTTGTTTGTTTGTTTTTTTACTTTTTAAGGTTGATTTAACAGACAGCATCTGCAGATTAAAGTTCATTCTTTTGATCTGCAGATGAATGAAACAGAGTAGAGTATGTCTGTATCTCTTCCTCTCATTTATTTCTGAATAGTGTTGATAAACACAGTTCATTTTTTGACAAGATGAGTTTCTAGAGCTGTTGCATGCACCAAGCAACTCCCGGTTTCATCTTCAGAGCCACAAATCGCTGGTAATTGGGCAGGAGAGTTGTGACAGAGGGTTGCATGGAGTCAACCAACTTCTGGCACCTGTGAACAGGTATTCCAGCCCAGGATGATTGGACTACATTCCACAGTTCTTCTCTATTTCTTGGTTTTGCCTCAGAAACTGCATTTTTGAAGTCACCCCACAAGATTAAGATTATTGGATTAAGATCTGGGGATTGGGCTGGCCACTCCATAACGTCAATCTTGTTGGTCTGGAACCAAGATGTTGCAAATTTACTGGTGTGTTTGGGGTCATTATGTCTTGTTGGAACACCCATTTCAAGGGCATTTCCTCTTCAGCATAAGGCAGCATGACCTCTTCAAGTATTCTGATGTATTCAAACTGATCCATGATCCCTGGTATGCGATAAATAGGCCCAACACCGTAGTATGAGAAACATCCCCATATCATGATGCTTGCGCACCCATGCTTCACTGTCTTCACAGTGTACTGTGGCTGGAATTCAGTGTTTGGGGGTCGTCTGACAAACTGTCTCCGGCCACTAGACCCAAAAAGAACAATCTTACTTTCATCAGTCCACAAAATGTTGTGCCATTTCTCTTTAGGCCAGTCAATGTGCTCTTTGGCAAATTGTAACCTCTTCAGCACACGTCTTTTTTACAACAGTGGGACTTTGCGGGGGCTTCTTGCAGATAGCTTGGCTTCACATAGGTGTCTTCTAATTGTAACAGTACTCACAGGTAACTTTAGACCTTCTTTGATCTTCCTGGAGCTGATTGTTGGCTGAGTCCTTGCCATTTTGGCTATTCTTCTATCCATTCAAATGGTAGTTTTTCGCTTTCATCCACGTCTTTCAGGTTTTGGTTGCCATTTTAAAGCATTTGCGATCATTTTAGCTGAGCAGCCTATCATTTTCTGCACTTCTTTATATGTTTTCCCCTCTCCAATCAACTTTTTAATCAAGGTACACTGTTCTTCTGAATAATGTCTATAATAATTTCCTCAGAATTTCAGAGAGAAATGCACTGTAACCAGCATGTACAACATATGCTGCCTTCCTTCCTTAAATAAGGGCAATAATTGCCACCTGTTTTTAAAGAATGAATGACCTCACTAATAGATCTCCACACTATTATTTTGAACATGCCCCTTTCAATTAGTGATTCAATTACACAGAATCAGCAGCATGCATGTCATGACTGTTGGATCTGTTGGATTTCTATTACTCTACTACACCTGCTAGTAAATTATTTGCGATGTAGAAATATCATTTCTACCAAAAACAGTGATTGATCAGGTTAGTGATGTCTGACTGCTATTATTTTGAATACAACTGTATATGCAAGGCACTGTGTAAATTGACGGCACTATATAGCTATCTGAAGTAAATAAAATATTTATAGGGGAGAGTGGATAACTTTGAGCTCCCCTTGGCTCATTCACAAAATGCAGGCCATAGTGCGGAGCTGGCAGATTTCTCTTTCCTAATGTAGCAGAGAGCGAGCCCTGGGATTTAGTGGAGCACAGTGCACATTTGTAAAGCACATTGCTTTTTTTTATAACAGCAGTATGGCCATACTACTGCTTCAAATGAACCCTTTAGTGAATTATTGTTATAATTATTATATTGTTATTGTGTGATATTATAGTTCTCACTCTTCTAACTGTAGTTTCAAAAATTGGTAACCATTCAAATGAACATTCATAATATTACTTTTAAATCAGTTGAAAGTATGATTACTTTTACCTTTTTTTTTAATTTTATGTCAATTCAGAACAAGCCACATGCTATGTAGTTGATCATGATGACATACACTATATTACCAAAAGTATTGGGACGCCTGCCTTTACACGCACATGAACTTTAATGGCATCCCAGTCTTAGTCCATAGGGTTCAATATTGAGTTGGCCCACCCTTTGCAGCTATAACAGCTTCAACTCTTCTGGGAAAGCTGTCCACAAGGTTTAGGAGTGTGTCTATGGGAATGTTTGACCATTCTTCCAGAAGCGCATTTGTGAGGTCAGGCACTGATGTCGGACGAGAAGGTCTGGCTCGCAGTCTCCACTCTAATTCATCCCAAAGGTGTTCTATTGGGTTGAGCTCAGGACTCTGTGCAGGCTAGTCAAGTTCCTCCACCCCAAACTCACTCATCCATGTCTTTATGGACCTTACTTTGCATTGGTGCGCAGTCATGTTGGAACAGGAAGGGGCCATCCCCAAACTCTTCCCACAAAGTTGGGAGCATGAAATTGTCCAAAATGTCTTGGTATGCTGACATCTTAAGAGTTCCCTTCGCTGGAACTAAGGGAACCCAACCCCTGAAAAACAACCCGACACAATAATCCCCCCTCCACCAAACTTTACACTTGGCACAATGCAGCAGTCAGGAAAGTACCGTTCTCCTGGCAACCGCCAAACTCCAACACGTCCATCAGATTGGCAAACAGAGAAGCGTGATTCGCCATTCCAGACAACACATCTCCACTGCTGTAGAGTCCAGTGTTGGAGTGCTTTACACCACTGCACCTGTTGCTTTGCATCGCGCTTGGTGATGTAAGGCTTGGATTCAGCTGCTCGGACATGGAAACCCATTCCATGAAGCTCTCTATATACTGTTGTTGTGCTAATCTGAAGACAACACAAAGTTTGGATGTCTTTAGCTACTGACTCTGAAGACAGTTGGCGACTTCTACGCACTGTGCTCTTCAGCATGCGTTGACCCCACTCTGTCATTTTACGTGGCCTACCACTTGGTGGGTGAGTTGCTGTTGTTTCCAGTTGCTTTCACTTTGTAGTAATACCACTAATAGTTGACCATGGAATATTTAGTAGCAAGGAAATTTCATGGATGGACTTATTGCACAGGTGACAACCTATCACGGTACCACACTTGAATTCACTGAGCTCCTGAGAGCGACCCATTCTTTCACAAACATTTGTAGAAGCAGTCTGCATGCCTAGGTGCTTGATTTTATACACCTGTGGCCATGGAGGTGATTGGAACACCTGAATCCAATGATTTGTAGGGGTGTCCCAATACTTTTGGCAATATAGTGTACATTGCTATGTGTTTGGTTTTCTCTGACAGCTCTCGAAGATATGGAAGATCTCAAGTGATGACATGATATTTTGAGCAGTGTGCAGTATTAACTGGATGGCTCAAATAGTCATTTGCAGTTTCCATTCCTCTATGTTGTGTAAGCTATTATTGACTTATTTCGCTCCTGCTTATCAAACTGTGTATTTTTAACGTAAATGATTGCTCGAAAAAATTGGCAAAACAAAACATACAAAGACTCAGTACTATGTTCAGAGGCATTGGGATTGGTTTACTAAAGGAAAATAGACTGTTCAGTTTGCAAGATAATTTTCCCATAGCATAAATTAAATGAAAATGCACTTTTCAATACCCAATCATGTGCAAGGAAAATGGAAACAAAAACATTTTTGTATGCAAAAAAATTGGAGGATGCCAAGTCAACAGAGCTTCACCTTATTCACTAAACTGAGGGGAAATTTACTTGCAAAGTAAAAATACCCTTTCCAATTTGAAGCAAACACCATCATTTGTTGTGCAGAGGCACGATGGAATTCTAGAGAGTGTTTTAGACATTCTTTGTGAATTCCCCAGAATGGGTGTTCTAATGTGCTGCATAAAATGTTCTAATTTTTTTGTGTTTGCATCCCATTCATTCAGTGAATGGATTGCCTTATGGAGCAGGCCATATGACATTATGACCACTAGATGGAGCTGAAGATCATGAAAACTACAGTAAATATTTTTTCCTATTATCATCAGAGCCATCTAGTGGAGGAAATACCCTGAAAGCATTTGATTTTGTACCAATTACCAGTAGCTGCAACTGAGTTGTATTTTTTTAAGTAACCTTGGTCTGTTGATTACTAATAACCTCTTCCAGATGAGCGTATGCATACATGTAGCCTTTATGTGGGTCTTAATCCATGGGGCTGCATATACCTATGGTGCGTTTGTGTTTGTGCTGAGAGTTCCAGGCCTCAAAACAATGCTCAGGAACCGGGGGACCCAGTTCCCAATCACCTAATCAATGTGATAGCCTCTGAATGACTACCACATTGATCAGTTGCTGTACAGCCTGACCCTGTGTTTTCCCCTCTTGAATGGAGAAAAAGATGCAGTAGGGGAGATAATTTACTAAAACTGGAGCACACAGAATCTGGAGCAGCTTTGTATAACTAATCAGCTTCTAGTTTTTTGGGGTTTTTTTTGTGAAAGCTTTGTTGAACAAGCTGAAGTTAGAAGCTGATTGGTTACTATGCACACATGCTCCAGATTCTGTGTGCACCAGTTTTAGTAAATTTACCCCATTGCATCTTTTTCTTCTTGCTAGAGGAGAAACACGTAAACAAAGAAAAGCGTGTATTAAAAAAAATTAGGATAAAATAGCTAGATTAGGGTTTGATCTAGGTCAGTGTCTGGGTTAGGTTTAGGATCAATGTTAAGGGACAAAGGTCAGGTCAAAGGTTCAGTGTATATATTTTTTACTAGTTTTGTCCTTGTTTTGGAGCAAGGTATAATGCACCTGGATACACTAAGTAGTTGCAATTATAGCAGTTTTCCTGACACATGTCAAACCTGCAAAACTGTGTTCAGGTGTTAAATGCCATTGCCATGAAGGGGTTAAATGTGTGGACAGATGTTGTAAAATACATGAGATTAAAAACAGTATGGCATGTTAGAGATATTACTTTTAAATATATGTATTTTCTTGAGAGAAGAAGAACAGTGAATGTCATATCTATGTTTCTGTATGTGATATGAATCATCCCGGCTGTACAAAATAGTACTGACCCATAAGTACTTTAACCGCTTTCCCACCGCCCCTTAGCAAAAATACTGCTACAGGGCAACAAGGGTGCACAAAATTATATATATACAGTGTATATATATATATTTATATATATATATGTTTTTGCATTTCCCGCACCACCATTGGCAGCCTCAGCTGTCGATCACCGAGTCCTGGACTGTGATTCCCCGTCAGCAACCGGTGATCGCCAAGTATCACTGACTGGGAAGAGACCTGTATGTAAACAATACAGATCTCTCCCCTGTCAGCTCCTACACATTGCTGTGTATTGCTCTGCATAGCAAAGCAATACAAGCAATGTGCTTACACTGTAAAGCACGCACACAGCACACAGTAAAATACAACACAGCACACAGTTAACTCTTTGATCGCCCCAGATGTTAACCCCTTCCTGCCCTGTGTCATTAGTACAGTGTCAGTGATTTTTATTAGCACTGACCACTGTATTGGTGTCACTGGGGATGTTAGTGACAGTTAGTCAGTCCCCCCCCCAGTGTCAGAATGCCCACAGCAGTCCCGTTATAAGTCGCTGATCGCCGCCATTACTAGAATATAAAAAAAACCCCAAAACATTCCAGTATCTATACCGCCATTTGTAGACACTATAACTTTCATGTAAACAAATTAATGTACATGTATTGGGATTTTTTTTAGCAAAGACATGTAGCAGAATACATTTTATGACGAAATTTGATTTTTTAAATTTTTTTACTGGACATGTTTAATAAAAAAAAGTAAAAAATAATAATGTTTTTTCTTTCAAAATTGTTGGTCTTTATTTTTTATAGCACAAAAAATTAAAAAACCAGAGGCAATCAAATACATCCGAAAGAAAGCTCTATTTGTGGGGGAAAAAAGGACATAGATTTCATTTGGGTGCAGCGTTGCATGACCACGCAATTGTCAGTTAAAATTATGCAGCGCTGTATCACAACAAAAATGGCCTGGTCTGGAAGGGGGGTAAATCCTCTGGAGGGCAAGTTGCTGTATGTGTACTCTTGGGTATTATTATTATTATACAGTATTTATAAAGCGCCAATGGTTCGCTCAGCACTGTACATTACAAAGGGGGACAGAACATGTGACAGAACAATACCAATCCAATGCAAAACATGAGGGGATCGAGGGCCCTGCTCTTTCGATCTTACAATTTAGGAGGGAGGGATAGTGGTACAGGAGGAGATAGCTGTGGGGGATGGAGTGGTAGGAAGACTGGAGGAGGTCGGCAGGTTAGCAGGAGGTGGGGTAGGCTTCCTTGAAGTGATGAGTTTTCAGGGTGCGCCAAAAGGAGAGGAGAGTAGGTGATAATCTGATGGGTTGGGGCAGGGAGTTCCAGAGGATGGGTGACACCCTGGAGAAGTCCTGGAGGTGGGCATGGGAGAAGGAGACCAGGGAACTAGAGAGAAGGAAGTCTTGTGAGGAGCGGAGTGCGCGTGCTGGGCGGTACTTGGATATTAGGTCAGTGATGTAGTATTGGGCAGTATGGTGGACAGCTTTGTACGTCAGTGTTAGGATTTTGAATTTGATCCGTTGCGCAATCGGAAGCCAGTGGAGGGATTGGCAGAGGGGGGTGGCGGAGATGGAGCGGTTGGAAAGGTGAATGAGTCTGGCAGCCGTATTCAGGATCGACTGAAGCGGGGATAGCCAGAGGCGAGGCAGGCCAGTGAGGAGGGAGTTGCAGTAGTCGAGTCGAGATATGATGAGGGAGTGGATGAGCTGTCTAGTGGTTTCTGGGGTTAGGAACGTGCGTATTTTGGCGATGTTGCGGAGGTGGAGTCTGCACGAGTTTGTTAAAGATTGGACTTGGGGCTGGAAGGATAGGTTGGAGTCCAGAATGACACCAAGTACTCTGGCCTGCGGGGCGGGTTTGATGGTGGCGTTGTTGGATGTGACGGAGAAGTCAATGGGGGGGGTGGTGTCCGGGCTGGGGGAAAGACAAGAAACTTGGTTTTGGAGAGGTTCAGTTTAAGGAAGTGGAGCGACATCCAGTCTGATATGTCGCTCAGTAGGTGTGTGATTCGAGCGGAGACCGAGGGGGTGAGGTGGGGGGTTGAGAGATAGATTTGTGTGTCGTCGGCATAGAGGTGGTAGTTGAAGCCGTGAGAGTGTATGAGTTGGCCAAGGGAGGAGGTGTAGATGGAGAAGAGAAGGGGCCCGAGGACAGAGCCTTGAGGGACCCCAACAGAGAGGGGGAGTGAGGGGGAGTTGGTAGCATTATAGATAACGCTGAAAGAGCGTTGTGACAGGTAGGATGAGAGCCAGGAGAGAGCAGAATCTCTGAGGCAGAGGGAGTGTAGTTTTTTGAGGAGGAGGGGGTGGTCGACTGTGTCGAAGGCAGCAGAAAGGTCAAGGAGTAGGAGCACTGAATAGTGGCCATTAGCTTTGGCGGTTAGCAGGTCGTTGGAGAGTTTGAGTAAGGCAGTTTCGGTGGAGTGTAGGGGACGGAAGCCGGACTGTAGGGGATCGAGGAGGTTGTTGTCGTTGAGGTGAGAGCTTAGGCGGGTGTAGACTAGGCGCTTGAGGAGTTTAGATGTAAATGGGAGCAGGGAGATGGGTCTGAGGTTGTTTGGCACATTGGGGTCCAGGGAGGGCTTTTTAAGTATGGGGGTGATGTGTGCTTGTTTCAGAGGGGAGGGGAAAGTGCCGGAGGAGAGGGAGAGATTAAAGATGTGGGTGAGGGAGCGTAGAATGGAGGGGGAGGGAGGTCGTAGGAGTTGTGAGGGGATAGGGTTGAGGGGGCAGGTGGTGAGGCGGGCATCAGAGAGGATCTTGGAGACTTCCTCGATGGTAGTAAGGTCAAAGGTGCGGAGTGTTGGGGGAGCTTCAGTATGAGGAATGTAGGGTGGGGTGGAAGTGGAGGTCAGAGCAGTGGTGGGGCCATGGGAGAGGGGTGATGAGGGGGTAGTTGAGTGAGGGGGAACGGGGTTGGAGGGAGTTTGAGCAGTGACGAAGTCCCTGCGGGTTATGTCAAGGGAGAGGGGGGATGAGGGGGTAGCTGTGTGAGAGGGGACGGGTTAAGAGGGCGTGTGAGTTGCAGCGATGTCCTTGCGAATTGTGTCAATCTTGTTTTTGAAGTGATTGGCAATCTCAAGGGCGGTGAGTGAGGTGCTGGGTGGAGGTGGGGGTGGCGAGAGTAGAGAGTTGAAGGTGGAGAAGAGCCGGTGAGGATTGG